GCCAGCAACCGGTCTGCACAAACAAGCAATGCCCCATCCGCAGGATGCAGGCAGCACACAAAACCATGCACCCTCCGGTCCGTGGAAAAACCTCTCTCCATGGAACCGGTCCCTGGTGCCCAAAAGGTTGGGACCTCTGATGTAAAAGATTCCCGAGTTTTAACAGGAAAGTAAGGCACTGTTTATAAATATATCTGATTTAGTTAAACCACAATTTTTCTGGTGTGTATGTAGATCATTGATAGAAAAGAACAGAGCACTAGAAGAGATGTATCCAGGTAGTCCTCGGCTTACGACTACAATCGAGCCCCCTAATTTCCGTCATTGAGCGAGACATTTGTGAAGTGAGCTTTGCCCCGTTTTACGACCTTTCTTACCACGGTGGTTAAGTGAATCGCTGAGGCTGTTAAGTTAGCAACCTGGTTGTGAATGAATCTGGCTGTCCCCTTGACTTTGCTTAAATCAGCAGATGCCCCCCCCCAAAAAAGTGATCCCGTGACCTTGGGACACAGCCAGTTGCCAAGCCTCTGAAGTTTGATCCCATGATCATGGGGATGCTACAAAGGTCGTAAGTGTGACGAACGGCCGTAAGTCCCTTTTTCCAGTGCCGTATCTTCGAACTGTTGTAAGCCGAGGACTACCCCAAGCCATAGCGGGTCCCCATTATGAGTGGACGGTCATTCATTAAGTTTCGTCCCACATTTACATCATTGATGCTGATGACCCCAGGGGCTATTCTGGCACTGATGCAAATGAACATCCCTCGTTAGGTGATTCGTTGCAAATCCTTATCTGTTATGAAACGTTCATCATCACAACTTCTGTATCTCCGTTGAAGTAGGTTACTTTTTTTTTTTTAATTTGAATTTTCTGTCTCTAGTTATTTTTACACCCGGGTGACTCACGGATCCAGTTGTAAAATCCTTCCATTGAAAGAAAGGCGAGACGCCTGCGAAATGTACCGTAATCTGGTGTCTTCCAGGCGGGCTAAGTTACCGCTTTGGAATGGTTCAAACAATGTAAAAATATTTAACTCCGATCCTGATCTCCTGCTTCTCCTTCTGCCTTCTTCTTCTTCAGACTCCGTCTTTGACAAATCTTGGACTGTAATATTAGCTTCTGACTTTAGGCCCTCAGGAAAGAATAGGTGGGTTGGGGGGGTCAACCTCACATCGGGGGGGGGGCAAGATGTTCCAGAGAGTGGGGACCCACCACAGAGAAGGCCCTCTTCCTGGACCCGCTGTTGTGATTCCGTGCCAGCCTATGCTCCCAACAGTTGAGTCTAAGGAATCTGAGGAGGAGGTGGAGGAGGCATTTGAAGGGCCGTCAGGGGCAGAGGGAGGCTCTGATGAATTACAGGACTCACGGTTTGATGCAGAGCCTGGACCCTCCAGTCGTGTTCCTGACGAAGCTCAGCTGTGTGAGGAGAATGAGTCAGACTCGGAGGACTCACACCCGATGGACATGCTAATTGATGCTCGCAGACGTCGTCAATTAGCGAGAGTAAATCAGTAGCAGTCAGTACGGCAACTCCAGGGTAAAAGGAGAAGGCACTGAGAGGCAATACCTGGGGACTGCTGCATAAAAAGAGGAGGTGTGGGCGGTGCTGGTTGCTGAAGGCAACCGTTTGCAAAGTACTTCTTTGAATCCTGGTCTGTTCGTCTTGCTTGTGACTATTCTTCTGTTTGCATCGTGTTTCCTGTGGACTATTTCCTTCATTTGGATTGAGTTTTGCTGTTTGTGTTTTGAACTATTTGGTCTGTCACCCATATTAAAAAGGGGTTTGTTTCATTTTAAAGTCTCCAGCCTATTTTATGAACAGGGGTTTGGTCCTTGTGCCTTTAACGAGGACGGCTATAGGCTGGGATAGAACACCCGCCAGCTGGAACACTTGGGTTGATGGGACCCCATGTGACTTGGGTCTTGATGTCCCGTGCCCTTCAATCTAGACCAGTGGGTTCCCAACCTTTTCTACGTCCCGCACCCCTAGAACGCTTCTGATAACGTTCTCGCCCCCCCCTTATAAAAGTAATATGTAGTTGTGCGTATACACTTATCATTTTGAAACGTCTGAAGCCAAGTTTTCGCACCCCTTGGGATATCGTTGGGACCCCCTGATCTAGACACATCATAAACGTTGAAAGAATAGGAAATATTTCCAGCTTGGCTTTTAGAGTTTGGCTGTGGCTTGTCCTCCAAGCTTGTTTGACTTAGGATTCCTGAAAGTTTCGTTACCGGACTAGGTAACATCATCAGCACGATGTCCTTCTCCTGCTCCTCTTTAGCGTATCAATGTCTTGGGTGCCAGTGTGGTTTCGTCTGCCAGGCCCATAACAGACATACTGATGTAGATCCAACCTATCAACGTGTAAGAAACCAGTGCCAATCAACAAGAGAACCAATCAGCTTCTCGGGATTCAAATATGGCTCTAAACAAGTGGTCCACAGTGGCCCACGAGATGCTTATGAGTAGGACAGGAAAATCCCGCTGATGATGTTACCTAGTTCGGTAATGAAACGTTCAGCCAACCTCATAAACTGCATTAATACTCTGGAAGATCCTCAGTTCTTCCTCGGTGGCTTGATGGACGCCATCTGCTCCGAGGCATCCAGCATACGAGACGATATCATCGATCATGTGATGTTTTCTATGCATGTGGTTTTCTTGATTAAAAATATAAGAATGGTTTACCGTTGTCTTTCCCCGCTAATATTCATTGACGATTTGCTGAAGTTATGATCCGCCTCCAGCATCTTCCTAAATCACCGCCATCCGATATAGATGCTTCCTTATCTTAGCTGAACAGTTGGGGTGTCCTTCACAGCTTGGGGTGAGCCTGCTGGGAATCCATACTCTTAGCATACGTTCCTCCCATTTTTTTTTGGAACACCCCACCACCCCCCCAATTAGACCACACAACCAGACTTGTGGGGGATTGTGAAATTGTTTAGCATCCTTTTTTTCCCTATGGCAGTGGTTCTCAACCTGTGGGTCGGGACCCCATTTGGGGTCGAACGACCATTTCACGGGGGTCGTCAAACAACACAGTCCGCCATTTTTTCCCCCTTTTCCTTAGCTGTGCTACTCCCTTTTATTCTATTGGCTTTTGAAAGCCAATAGAATAGACTCTCTTGAATAGAGTCTAATTCTATTGGCTTTCCAAAGCCAATAGGAATTGTCCAGGCTGTTTCTGCCCTGCTGAACCCGCCAAAAGTCCCATTCTGCAAACGGTGCTGCACCAGTTGAGTAGTCCTCGACTTACGACCGGTTGGGGGTCGCGGCATTAAAAAGGTTGAGAACCACTGCCCTATGGCTAAGAGAGTGACTGGCCCAAGGTTGGTTTCTCTCTAAGGTTGGGACTAGAATTCCCAGTCTCCTGGTTTCTGGCTCATATTTAACTGATTGTCCCGTAGGACTCCCAAGATCCCTCTCACAGTTACTTACTGTTGAGCCAAGTTTTTTTTTAAGTGTATAAAAGCCTTAACTTTTCTCTACACTGAATTTCATTTTGTTAGATAGAGCCCAGTGCTCAAGTCTGTTGAGATCCATCTGGATCTCCAGTCCCATCTTCTGCAGTGTTGGCTATTCCTGCCGCTTTAGCGTCTTAGGAACAAACCACATTTTATTTCTATTCTATTGAGCTGATTTATCTATTTATTTATCTTAGTGCCTAAGAATAAGCCAGGTTTTATTTTTATTCTGTGGCAGAATTCAGCTCTCCGATTTAATACGTTGGACGTTTTTGTAACTGTGACGGCTGGAGTTTATGTGAATGTTGAGTGAGTGGCTTCTAAATTGAACCCGGGGGAGGAATTAAGAGTTTCAGACTGTGTGAAGGTGAAAAAGTGCACTAGTAGGGAAGAATCGTGCAAAATGCCAGAGGCAGAGATGCAGAGACACACGTACGTGATTGTTTAAATGCTAAATTAAGTGGGGATGCTTGAATGCCTGGCTCCCAAGCTATGGTGACTGTTAGGTTTGATGGCTAAATGCTCCTAAAATGGTTGTGAACAGGAGTTGAAGAGTGTTATTTGTGTGTTCACACACTGCCTGTGAGCTTCCTATTGCTATCTGGCTATGTGCATTGAACTGAATATTGGATATAGGCCCTTTGGTCTAACCCAGGGGTCTTCAAACTTGGCGACTTTTAAGACTTGTGGACTTCAACTCCCAGAATTCCTCAGCCAGCCAGGAATTCTGGCTGAGGAATTCTGGGAGTTGAAGTCCACAAGTCATCAAAGAGCCAAGGTTCTCCACCCTTGGTATAAGCTCTCCTGCTTTAGCAGAGGCTCGGATTAGAATAGGGGTCCCCAACCCCGCTCTGTGGATCGGTACCGGGCCATGGCATACCAGCAAGTCATGAAAGGGCCATAGTTCCCCCATGCTGGCTCAGGAATTCTGGGAGTTGAAGTCCGCAAGTCTGAAAAGTTGCCAAGGTTGAGGACCCCTGATATAGGACAGGGGTAGGTAACCTTGGCTCTTTTCTGACTCGTGGACTTCAACTCCCAGAATTCCTGAGCCAGCCGCGCTGAGGGGAAAGGGAGAGGTTTCCAAGCTGAGCCAGGCTGGCTGAGGAATTCTAGGAGTTGAAGTCCACGAGTCATGAAGGGCCATAGTTCCCTCATGCTGGCTGAGGAATTCTGGGAGTTGAAGTCCACGAGTCATAAAAGCCGAGGTTGCCTAGCCCTGGGCTAACCCATTGGTAAACGTTTCCCCATGTTTTAAAATAAACTGGGTCTTCTTCCTCTTCGATCTCTTAAGGTTAATCTGTCCATTTCTGCGCCTTCTAAAATGTTCTTCATTAGGCTCTCTTCAGAGGGTACATTTTCATTTTTCCCCCCAATATTGGGCCCATGCTATTCTCGCTCCTGTCAATATACGTCATATTAAATACTCGTTCTCTTTCCCATATGTGGCTCCTAATGTTCCTAAACAAAAACAATTCCGGTTTAAACTCTTATCGGTATTTCAGTCATCTTTTCCAACCGTGTATGAATCTTTAAGCCAATTTTTTTTTTCTTTTTTCGCTAGGACTCTCTCTTGCCATCCCTTAGATTTCTTGCAGACCTGCAGGGTCACTTCCCCAAAGCCGTCAAGAGCTTAGGATGTGCCTGGACAGGCAAGCAAGCCGGTTTTGAGGAGCTTCTGGTTATGTCGGTTCAGAGGAGGAGGAGGAATCCCTCCCTCTCCACCACCCCCCTGTATAAAATAAATGGTATTTCCTGCTTTCATAAACAGTCATGTGCACTATTGGCCAGGCCGACGACGGTGCCTCTGGATCTCTTTCTTTCCCAGCACTGTTGAATCAGAATCGGTCTCCCCGCCGAAGTGCAAGGACCCTTTCCCGGCCGTCTGCAACAAAGGGGACTTCACGGGAATAAGGCAGTCGGAAGAGCAGGGGCAGGCCTGTCGTGTTGGTTGTGAATATTTTCTGATTTTTCCAGAAATCAAGCAGAAGATTGAGCTGCTGATGTCAGTTAACTCTGAGAAGTCGACCACTTCAGAAAGGTACAGCTTACATCTTCTGCATGAACCATTGAATGGTGTGGTATTTGGCTAACCCGCAGCGCAGAATATATATACCTATATATATAGATATATATATATATTAACCTTCAGTTATATATATATATATCTTGCATGTTTGCCTTTTTTCATGTCTTCATCGAACCTGTGTTTGGGTTGAGCTTTCATATATTTTTGAGAAGGTTTTTCACTTTTATTTTTTTAAAAAAAAAAACCACACAGAAAAATAAAATTGAAGCCGTGCAGCATGCAAAAAAAAAACAAACAAAAAAAACACCCTCCTGTAGTATTACGGCACCCGTACATGTCTGTGTGTTTATACTGTTGCTGCAGTCGATGGTGTCTTTGTGCTTGTCTGTCTTTTTCCCACCGGCAAATCCATCTTGATTTAAAAAAAAAAAAAAAAATCCCGACCGAGAAAGAGAGAGAGGTTCCCCCCCCCCCCAAGGCTGTTGCAGAGAAAGGCGCTGAAAAACTAGCCGGATGCTTGCATTTTTAACCTTGCAGAAAATAGCACTCGTTCAAAGCACGATTGTGTGTCTGTGTGTGTGTCTGTGTGTGTGTGTTGCAAGGGAGTGTCCTTAGTAAGAGCTTAGGAATTGCAAATCTATGAATTAGTCACATTCGTCAAGAGGGCTGTGATGCTGCTTCAAGTCTGTGCTAGGAAATGGAACAGTCACCGCATGCAGCAGTGGTGGTTCATGCCTGCAGGTAAGGCAGAATTACTCAGAAGCATCCCAAAGGCAAAGGGCATTATCTGCCAATTTGCTCCCATCCAGACCTTGTTATTTTAATTTCACATTTATGGAACGTGCTGATTTCCTTTTACCCTTGCTAGCAAGCAACCAAGCATCTTTTTTTTTGGCTTACGGGGTTTTTTTTTTGTCGTTAGAAAATAAGATAAATACGATTTTATTTTTTCCCCCCATGCAGCTGCATCCTTGCTGTTGGTAAATGCATGCGCCTATTTCTTCTTTACATTTGAGCCACGGTTCTAGGCTTCGTAGCCATTTCTTTCATAAGATGTGCCATAATCGATGTAGACGTATTTTATATCGGATGCCCATCTAAATGCACAGCAGAGAATATAATCCGGGAGACGAAAACATCTGAGCTAATTAGGAAGAGACCAGGCACATCATTAATGTGTGATGTGTAGAGCTTTAGAACAGAACAGGTCCACTTGTGGGAAAAATGGGGAGGGAAGACAGTCATAAAAAGGAGAGGTGGAGGTTATTTATTTCCCTTTTTTTGTTTTGTTTTTTTATTGACAATCTCACACAGCCCTGAGAAATAAGATTTAAAAAATGGTGTGCAGGGTGGGGTAAAGAGAGAGAGAGAGAGAAAAAAGACCAGTGCTCTGTGTGAATCTTTTCAAATGGTGCATTTCCAGGATTATTGCAAAATTTAGGAGTGGGGGGGGGGGGGTGAGTAGATTTCTTGGCTCTAGAAACAACGAGCTGAAAATCAAAATGCTAATTTGGTTCGGCGATTTGGTTTTCCATTTCTGTCCCGGTTCTATATAAGCTATAAATATTATGCCAATAAAATGGTGGTGATGATGACGTGAGGAAGGAAGCTAGGGATGGAAATAGCAAGGAAAACGGTGTTTTTTTTGTTTTTTTTTTAAGGTTTTCTGTTCAGGAATGGCTCTCTTACTGGGGGAAAGCCAATTTTATTTGCTGAAAACCTATGCAGCATTAGGAATAACTTTGTCACTGGCATACTATGAGATATATTTTAACACTGAATGAAAACTGGCTAATTGGAAGTAACCTGTTCCCTTAATTCATAAATGCCCATCATTACATCAGGAGGAAGCAAAATTTAGGATAAACATTGTGCCAAGGGAGAGTTGGGGAAAAAAAAATCTTTTTTTTTTTTGAGGGGAAGACAAATAACAGGATGCAATATGTAAGATATACGGTTACTCTTTGGTGTAATTTAAATGAATGCTACTATATATATATGAGAGAGAGAGAGATCAAACTAGCCTGGAAATCATAGCTGTAATTCCGGTGGAGGTTTCGTTCTTTCGTATAATTCCACAAAGATAATATACATTTTATAAAATTATAAATACCTATTGCTTTACAAAACGTAGCGAATTTCAGAACCCTGTTTTATTCGGAGTCCCCATTTATAGGGAGTGGATTGCATTTAAGAGAAGGCAACATTCAAATGAATGCATTTGCTCGCCGGCTTAAGTGACTGTACTTTTTTTTTTGGAATACCTTTTTCGCACAGTCCATTATTTAGGAAAAGCATAGCCTTTCATTTTCGGGATTTTTCTAGGGGAGGACTTTGAAATTAGCATCTTGGGGTAAAATGGCCTGAGGTTCTGAAAATTGGGCACTTTCACATGAAGATGCGGTGACGTTGTGCATCGGAGGTCCCCAACCTTTTGGGCAACCAGGGACCGGTTGTGTGGAGAGAGGTTTTTCCGTGGACCGGAGAGTGCGTGGTTTTGTGTGCTGCCTGCATCCCGCGGATGGGGCTTTGCTTGTTTGTGCGGACCGGTGGCTGGCGTGCCGTGGCCCAGTACCGGTCCATGGACCGGGGGTTGGGGACCCCAGTTGTACATAGTCAAAGGCATTAACATGTCCAAAGTATGGACAGCATTAAAAATGGATGATATTTGTGCGTTTCTAGGAAAGCATCAGAGAGGGTTTTCAGAATATATGATACTATTTGCATTATGTCAGTGTGTGCAGTTGAAACTCAAGTCCTTTGGCCACCTAATGAGAAGGAAGGACTCAATGGAGAAGAGCCTGATGCTGGGAAAGATTGAGGGAAAGAGAAGAAGGGGACGACAGAGAATGAGGGGGCTGGATGGAGTCCCTGAAGCAGCAGGCGTGAGCTTAAATGGACTCCAGAAAATGGTAGAGGACAGGAAGGCCTGGAGGAACATCGTCCATAGGGTCGCAATGGGTCGGACACGACTTCACAACTAACAACAAAGTGTGTGCAGAATCATTAATGTTTATGCACACTTTATGCTGAACATATTACGTATTATTATATTACAGGTGGGTACAGGTCGTCCTTGACACGAGCACCGTTGAGCCCAAAATTTCTATCGTCGTCAAGTGAGACATTTGTTAAGTGAGTTTCCCCCCATTTTACAACCTTCCTCGCCACAGTTGTTAAGCGAATCACTGCAATTGATAAAGCTGGTAACCCGGTTGTTAAGTGAATTCGGCTTCCCCCCAGTGACTTTGCTTGTCAGAAAGTTGCCAATAGGGGGATCGCGTGATCCTGGGACACTGCAACCGTCGTAAGTATGAGCCAGTTTCCAAGCATCTGAATTTTGATCACGTGATCAAGAGGATGCGGCAACGGTTGTAGGCGTGAAAAATGGTCATAAGCAGTGGTGGGATTTAGCCGGTTTGCACCGGTTTGGTAGAACCGGTAGCTAAATTTTGCTGAGTTTGGAGAACCGGCTGAATGCACACTGCTTCTGGAAGTCCAGTCTAGGCCTCAGAGGCCTGGAGGAGGCTTCCCAGGCCTAGAACTGCCCGCCGGAAGTGCGTGGATGCCACTTCCGGAAGTCTGTTCTAGGCTTCAAGAGGCCTGGAGGAGGCCTCCCAGGCCTAGAACTGCCCGCCGGAAGTACGTGGATGCCACTTCCGGAAGTCTGTTCTAGGCCTCAGAGGCCTGAAGGAGGCTTCCTAGGCCTAGAACTTCCCGCCGGAAGTGCATGGATGCCACTTCTGGAAGTCCGTTCTAGGCCTTGGAGGCCCAGACTTGCATCCAATAAGAGAACCGGTTGTACAGGTGTTTGAATCCCACCACTGGTCATAAGTCACTTTATTCAATGCCATTGTAACTTTGAACAGTCACTAAGTGAACTGTTGTAAGTCAGGGACTCCCTGAATAGCAATGTTTTTTTTCCTACTACATAATAGATCTTTAACCTACGTGCATTCAGCAAAAGACTACAAAGTGAATTTTAAGTAGAGAAATAGCAAGTATTTTTTTCATTATCTGAAGAACTTGAACTGCATATCTGATTAGATATTCACGTTCAGGTACAGATAATTCTTGATTACAGACATTGGCCTAAGAATTGTTGAGAATAGAATAGAATAGAATAGAATAGAATAGAATAGAATTATGGAATAGAATAGAATAGAATAGAATAGAATAGAATAGAATAGAATAGAATAGAATAGAATCTTTATTCAGAATAGAAGAGAATATTAAGAAGAGAAGAGAATCTTTATTTAGAATAGAATAGAATATAGAATAGAATAGAATAGAATAGAATAGAATAGAGGAATGAAGAATAGAATAGAATAGAATATAGAATAGAATAGAATAGAATAGAATATAGAATAGAATAGAGGAATGAAGAATAGAATAGAATATAGAATATAGAATATAGAATAGAATAGAATAGAATAGAATAGAATAGAATCTTTATTCAGAATAGAAGAGAATATTAAGAAGAGAAGAGAATCTTTATTTAGAATAGAATAGAATATAGAATAGAATAGAATAGAATAGAATAGAATAGAATAGAATAGAATAGAATAGAATAGAGGAATGAAGAATAGAATAGAATCTTTATTCAGAATAGAAGAGAATATTAAGAAGAGAAGAGAATATTTAGAATAGAATAGAATATAGAATAGAATAGAATAGAATAGAATAGAATAGAATAGAATAGAGGAATGAAGAATAGAATAGAATAGAATAGAATATAGAATAGAATAGAATAGAATAGAATAGAGGAATGAAGAATAGAATAGAATAGAATATAGAATAGAATAGAATATAGAATAGAATAGAATAGAATAGAATAGAATAGAATGGAAGCTGGAAGGGACCTTGGAGGGCTTCTAATCCAGCCCCTTGCTCAAGCAGGAGAACCTATGCCATCTCAGACAAGTGACTGTCTAGTCTCTTCTTAAAAACCTCCAGTGATAGAGCGCCCATGATTTCTGGTGGCAAGCAGTTCCACTGGTTGATTGTCCTCC